AGATTTAGTTAGTTAGTTAGTTAGTGGAACAGGTGCTTAATGTAGCTTCGATTGGTTTCACGTCAGACATGACGTAAACCCTGACAATTTATTTCAGTCTCTTGCTTCTTTTCTCGTTTTGGAACAGGATTTTTCTTCCTCTCAGTCATTGATACTCACCTGCATGGTGTAGTTGGCTCCAATCTTTATCAAGTGTTTGATGAGCTCTGCGGAATGCTGGAAATGAACGTTTGCTGTGGAGAAAAAACAGCACATCCAAGTAAGGGTTGGCTAGGTTCATCTCACTCTTCCTGTGAAGCTCTAACAACATAAAAAAAATCATTCTAAAAAAAGACGGCACAGCCGGACCATTCCTCTGGTTTTATAGTGTAAACCTGTGTTGTTTTTTCTGTTGGGTGAAGATGGAGACTGAACGTACCATCAGCAGTGCCATGGGCCAGAAACAGAGTCCCCCCTTGGAGACCTTTCATGTTGGGCAACACTTTGGAAGCCTGGAAATGAAAGGCAAGTTTAATCATTTAAAGTGTGTTAATCGTTATATGTAAAGTATAAGAAAAGTGTGAACCCTACAAGAAAAAGGGCTTTTGTCAATGATGTCTTTAGCTAAATTTGGGATGGAAGTGGAGCTTTAAATATAAAAAATGACTATAAAAACAGCCTGACAAAGACTAAATATAGCCATGTTGCATTTAGATGCATATCTCAAGCGAGTTTACATGGTTACTGAGGGTATTCTATTCAATTCCCAAAATCAGGATCCCATCGTTGGCTGCTTTTTCCACGCAGTGGGATTCCCACAGGAAGATTTTCCATTGTCAGCACCCTGAATTTTCTTTCTTTTAGCTCCTCGTTCTCTGAGTCTGTGTCTCAGAGGACGGGATGAGTGATGATGTCGTCCAGGTGAATTTTGTCTGATCAGATCACGTGACGTTCCCCTTCCTCTGGATGTTGTTTCAAAGACCGCCAGTCAAAAAATAGAGTACTCTGGCCCAGTTTTAGTCAGCCCATTTAGGAGGAGAAATACACCGAGTGCAACCTTCACATGGAGGACGACTGCTTTGTATTTTAGGACCTCTGACACTTCCCTTTGTAATCATGGATTTGTGCTTTCTTTTACCTGCCGTTGCCAAGGACTAAGCTAAACTGAAGACCGGTGGCTTTAGAAATCCATGTGGGGTTTTTTTATGTAAAGTTAATTTAAATCTAGGATGTGAGAACCACTCCGACGCGCATTGATTATCTTTGAGTTTCACTCTTGAATCAGCCATCAAAGGCTTGCGAGCTTGATTTTTAACAGGGCTTTCTCACTGATGTTGCCGTCGTGGCTCTGTGTCGAGGTACCTGCACAAATCGGCCTCAAAGAGCTGTAAAGAGTACCCGGTCTGTCCAGGTTCACCCCAAATATATAATACCAAAGGTTTTTCTCAGGCTAACTGGAAGGAAATGTGGATATTCTCCCACTGGATCCACATCTGGATCCTGGCCATATGACCTGATCGCCCGCATATCGATCCCCCCCTACACTCTCAATCTCATTCTCAGATTCTACCTTTGGCAGCTACACACAAGAATTTTGTGTTGATATGGGACCAGTTGAGTAAAACGTAGGAAGGATGAAGAAAACTCAGTGATGCCTGACACAGACCTGGTGGGAAAGTCTTTGCTCCTGGTCTAGAAGAAAGAAACCAGTGTAGCTACAAAAACAACAAAAAAAGTTTTAATTTTGTTGCGTTTTAATGAAATTCCCTGGTCTGAGACTTTTTACGAGAAAGCAAATGTTTTTTCCATTAAGATTGGGTTTGTTTTTAGTTGATTTTTATGGATGTGGTCCGAAACTATTGTGCAGTAACTGTTGGAAAACCTCTCTAAACGTATAAAAGAGAACAAAGAAGCTAAGATGGGTTAAGATGGTAAGCATAGGCAGCTCACTTGGTATCTGTTCTCTTCAGTGGAAGGCGAGCCAAAGTATCTCTCGGAGAAGGCAGAAGCTGAAAGCAGGAGAAAAGGCTTAAATACGGAGCGGTGAACGTCGGAAGCATCGACAGGTAGGTTAACAAGTTTTTTTTTCTGTACACCATTAACAGATATGAGAGTTTTTAACCAGCAATCAAAACTTCATTATTCTTGAAATGGAGGTTTTCAAACTGTGGTCGCACCCAGCAGCACAGGAGTCCAACCTCTGATTATTCACTCAGAAAAACTGAGGATAGCCTTTCATCTTCCAATTCAATAAGCCTGAATCCCCAAAAAGCAGAGCTGAAAAGATTATTTAACTCACATTACCCTGATGTTACATATGAAAAGATCGTGTAGGATTTAAAAAAAAGTTTGGCGAGAGTTTGCCCTGGAGCAGCACAAGTAATGAATATTTTTATGACCCCGTGGTCTGCGGAGTTTGTACGGTTTTATACATAATCGTGCTCACCATACATCGTCCAATCGGTGACTGGAGCACGAGCTGCGGCGCACCTGATTAGCCTCTCCGTCGACTTGAGCATCATCAGAGTCAGATAACCGCCGTAGCCCTGCCGAGCAAACGCGACCATTAGTACTTTTTTTACATTGTTTTAGTGAACCTGAACTGAGCAGGAGATTTGGGGTTAGGGTTTATAAATGCGGGGGCATGGTGGTGTGGTGGTCAGCACCATGGCCTCACAGCAAGAGGGTTCTGGGTTGGAGTCTGGGGGAACCAGGACCTTTCTGTGTGGAGTTAGCATGTTCTCCCTGTGTCTGCGTGGGTTCTCTTCGGGTTCTCCGGCTTCCTCCCACCATCCAAAAACCTGCATGTCAGGTTGATTGGACATTCCAAATCGCCCTTAGGTGTAAGTGTGTGGTTGTGTGTCTCTGTGTCACCCTGCGATGGACGGGTGGACCGTCCAGGGTGTACCCCGCCTCTCGCCCATTTAGGCTCCATTCCCCCCCGCGACCCCATTAGGGAATAAGCGGTTACGATAATAGATGTATGGATAGTTTATCGATGCATCTGCCATTTTTGTCGCACGTTTTGAGAGCTAAACCTGAACCTGCGGTACACCCCCTACGGATAAGGATGAACGGGCCCCATTGCCAAACCCCACAGATCCCAGTGGTGACGCAGCACCGAGCGAGGGCGCACCCACCTCTCCGAAGACTCCCACGCGATTGCGGTTGATGAAGGGCAGATTGGTCAGGTACCTGCCAACACGCACAGGACAGGACAGGTTTTAAAGAGCGGATCCCGGAGGGGCGTCAGCAATGACAAGATTTCAACAATTGCATTTCACATTTGTCAAACACTCGGGGCTCCGGCAGCCAGGAGGTCGAGGGGCCGAGCCATGGGGGAGTCGCTGACTGCGGGCCTGTCATGTCTTGACCGATCGCGTCAGAGAAAAATCAAAGAGAAAACAGAGGACGAGCAGGGACGGAGGTTCGGACATAATTGACCAGAACCTAGCGCCTCCTGGAAAGATGATAATCTTTTAGGCTTTTCCGGGGAACCGAGGAGGAGGTTTTTCACACAGCTGTGTGAAATCTACGAACCAATCGACTTTAATCCACGTCCAGAAGGAAAATTAATCTTTTCTGAAGCACTTAACATATTCAGTTATAAATGGTATCAGGACACGAGCAGTGAAAACTTTCCCTTCGTGTGTCCACAAGTCAAGAAAAACGAACACTTTAGCAATTTATAAAGCTGCTCATCGTTTTTTTCTCTGGACGTCAGCAAAAAGACTAATCGAGCTCTTAAATCGTTTCGGACAGAATTAAGCAAAAGTGGCCTCAAAATTGAGACGCTTATCGCTGCACGACATTTTGGACCGTCGAGCTCCGCCCAACCAACGTCCAAACTCCGCCCATCCAAGACTCGGCCTTTTTTGATGAGTTTTAGGCGCCAACAAACTTTACTGGCCATAGCGAATCGGCAAACGAAGCGAAGCCTTAAAACGAACGATGTCGGTAAGTGAAAAATACATAATTTTATGTTCATGTTGACGATATTACTGTGTTGACCCTGCTGGATGAAATATTTATGATATTTGATGTGACCATCTAGTTTATTGTGTTCATTAGTTTTTTTGCCCGAAAAAGTAGTTGTTTTGTAGAGTACCTTCAATTTAGTGTTAGCTAGCGCAAGGCCCTGTTTTGTTTTACTTAAAGATGTTTCTTGTGAAATTGAGTTTATGCAATATCCATCCCGTGATGTCAAATGAACATTACAGAACGTTATCATTTTTGTGTCACGAAAGTATGCAAGATTAGTAAAAGCCAGTTAGTGAAAATGATTTCGGCTTGAGAAATATAACGTTATTAGCCTGCTAACGTTAATTACACATATCAGTATACTTAGCAGAGTTGCTAGCGGTTTAACTTGTAACACAATGTCCATTTACAAAACTGTACATGCACAGAAAACGAAAAATGTTTTGGTCAATGTTTGTCATCAGACCAGCTCGATGAATCTTCAAATGTTTAAGGCATGTTTAAGCCCTGTAAAGAACCACTATGATGATTAACGCATAATGCATTATTTGATCATGTTTTTCAGCATTCAACACACTTTAAAGACCGTCCAGGCATACAGCAGTACCTCAAAGACGGCATATTCAAATGCCCCTGCTGCAAATTCTGTACAGAGGATGATTACAAATTATCCTATCACATTGATAATCACTTTACACATGCTGTGCATCATGCAGGTAGGGTTGCAGACATGGATGTGGTTTGTTTTACACCACAACTTCTATGAGTTATTTATAAGTGGTTTTGTTTCTGTTTTACAGAGTATGACATTTGCAAATGCAACCTGCAGTGCAGGTCAGCTGCACACTACCACTGTCTGTATTGTAATCAGACAATAATCAGGAAAGACCATTTTACTACACACTTAAATATCTGCAGCTCCAAAACGCCCCTTTCTTCATCTGCTTCCCCCCATCAATTGGCCTCCAGCATTTCAACGACCAGTGCTCCACCATCTCCTGCCGCCTCCCCCCATCAATTG